GTCCCGAGAAATGACAAGAAATTGGAACAAAAATTTGGAAAAGAAGATGGAGGCAGGAGTTCATTTTGGTCACGGTGCTAGGAAATGGAATCCTAAAAATGGCGCCTTATATCTCTACAGAGCGTAAGGGTATTCATATTACTAGTAAGCATTATCAAAAAAATGCTCGCAGACCCTGAAAGAAAGAAAAAGTTGATGGGAATAAGGTGGGTTGCCAGTCCAATCGCTAATCTAGTCAAAAATCTGCCCAAAAACAACTATTAAGCGGCGTATTCTTTCATCACTGGCGACCGCTTGTTATGGAGAAATAGCTGAAACCTGTGATAACTGAATTCACAGGATAATTCAATAGTCTGCCAAATGTATGACAGATATGGAAAAGTTAAACTTACGTCTCCCTGGCAATGACCTTAGATCCAATAGCAGCTTGTATAATGATTTCAAACATCTGCCTGTTCAACTATCTGTATGAGGAACAAGAAGTAGCACCAAAACCAAAAGAAACAAATGACGGGCAAATAAGTAAACCTGTCTATAAACTTTTTAAGCTTCTCCACAAGTTCGCGACCAACGCGCGGAGCTTTTGATTTGTGGACAATGGTTGCCATAGCATCAACTGGTTGGCCATTTAGGAGAATATCGAGCTTCACCAAATCTGAGGACTGGTATCTATCCAAAAACAAAAAAAACAAAAACAAAAAAGAGGATAAAAGGAAAAGAGGAAGAAGCAAATATGGGTTATCAGAAGCACTTGCAACTAGAAAATATCATTGAGGAAAACTTTTTTCCTGAGAGAATCAAAATTTCATTCCTTAATACAGTAAATATTTGATCGATACAGAAATTTCTAAGTTGTGTTTGTATGTACTAAGAGAAACAAAGCAAGAAGAGGAGAAAAACTTACTCTGAGTCCTCATAATCAAACGATGCATATCCTGATGTTATACTTTTCAATTCATTGTAGAAGTCCACAACAATTTCCCTCAGAGGCATGCGGTACTTCATGAAAGCCCGTTGGCTGCACAAGATGGAAAAACTTGTATACTATCAATCTAGAACTTTATAGGAGCTCGAGAAAAGATGAAAAGAAATTCCTAATGAAGGTCGAACAATAAAATTAGCTTTTGAATCAACTTTGCTTTGCAATATAAAGTGTCTTCCTACAAAATATTGGGCAAGATATTAAAGGCTGCAACTCCCCAGTTCTTTCATTTACAAATAATCGAATGAAAGAAAAGAACAAACTTAAGTTAAAAACAAAAAGAAATGTGATGTGATTGTTAATTCATGGTGTGCGTCACATACTTGGCACATCTTCAATGAGCAAACATCAAATCAACATAAGAAGAAAAGTCACCTATCAATGAATGAGTACTCCAACTGCTCTCCCCGACGCTCAGCACATAGAGTGATAACAGACCCCACATACCTTCAAGAAGAAGTATGATAGTGAGGAAAAATGGACATCCCTGACACCAAACTAGCTCCAAGAGGAGATCAAGAAAGCTGACACATATTGTTGAGGGAAAAAAATCTAATAACATTGAAGTGCATGGGAGCTTACTCACTAGGGATAATAATTGTAGCTATTACAGTAGGTTCCCAGCAGGCAGAAAGTCGATTCTTGGGGTTTGAAGGCAAAGCAGCAGGATTCTGAACCTCCACTTTGCTAAAGACAGACACAAGAAAAGGAGGAAACAGAAGCAGAATTAATTTAAGATTGATAAAAGGCGTTTACAACGTACAGAGAAAAAAAAATGTTGATAACCATACCTTCCATCTGAGTACTCAAAAATATATGGCACTGTAGGAACAGTGGAAATGACATGAGCACCATGTTCCTGTCAGCCATTACACCATTAAATACAACATTAAATAAGCAACTCGTGAAGTCAAGATAGAGTTCATTCTTAGAGCCCGTTTGGCCAAGCTGCCAAAAACGGCTTTTTTTTTAAAAGTACTTTTGATCAAAAGTGCTTTTTGAAAAAAGTACTTTTGCAAAGTAGCAGTTTGTGTTTGGCCAATTCAGTAAGTAGTGCTTTTTGCAACCAAATTGTGTTTGGCCAATCATTCCAAGAAGTATTTTGAATATCAAATTACGAAAAAGGACTGCAAAGGTTCAGTTTGCAATTAGTATTATTTAAATGAGAAAAATAAATTTAAAATTTTATTATAATAAAAATAAATTTAAAAATATCAATATAAATATAGTTATTCCAAAGCGATAATATTTTGGGGTATCTAGTATTACTTATTGTTTACATGATGATTTAAATATATCAAAATATATCACTCAATATAAATTAAATATCTACTTTTATAAATCACTATATAAAAAAAGAGATTTATTTATAGTAGAGAGAATATTCCAAAGAGAATAAAAATATGATAGAATAAAAAAGAGAAGAAATGTATGGTAAAAAGAGAAAAAGAAAATAGAAACGTTAAATCAATGAGGGATAATTTGAGAAATAAAAATTTAATGTAAGGATATTCTTGTCTTGAATAAATTAATTTTCTACTTCTTGGAAGAAGCTAGAATTTGTAGCTTCTCTCCAAAAACTGCTTCTGCTGCTGCTCAAAAGTACTTTTTATTTTGGTCAAACATCTCAAGTTTTTCAAAAAGTACTTTTTTGACAGAAAGTACTTTTTGCTTCCCCAAAGCTTGGCCAAACAAGCTCTTAACTTGTTGCAAAACAGGAAAACAAACCAAAGGAGGCAGATTCTTTCTTCTTCATATTTTTCTCTCTATGTGAATGTGTGTGTGTGTGTGTGTGTGTGAGAGAGAGAGAGAGAGAGCAGAAACAGGCTCCAACAAGAGAGACCAACATCGGGATCAGTAATTGCTCATACAAGAGAATCTTCCTTTTCTAGCGTTTATCAATCCAGTTTTTAATTGAAGGCAAATAAATTTAAAATGAAATTAAAGGAAGTGCCTGTTCAAGCCGCTGATGAAAAACATCCATGTGAAGTAAACCCAAGAAACCACATCTGGTAGCAGAGGATAAAATGGGACCAAATTAGGAAAAAGAAGTGAAGTTAAATTTTTAACAATCGAAAAAAAGCGAAGTTAAATTTTCTATCTTAAGATTTATCTTTACCTGAAACCCAGACCTAGAGCCGTGCTACTTTCTTTAGTTACAGAGACACTCGCATCATTACACGTCAATCTCTCTATGGCATGGTTAAGTGCCTCAAAATCAGATCCATCAGCTGGATATAGGCCAGAAAAGACCATATGTTTTGCTGGCTTGAAACCTTCATGTATCACCAAGGAAAATATTGCAATGAGATAAGCTCTGCTAACAAGTATGGAGAAACACACACCAAGTCTCACAGTGATATTTTATTCAGGCCACGATGACAATGTGCAAAGCTAAACCTGTTATAGTATGAAGCTAAAATTGTTGGTAGGATGCATTCTCAATCACAAGCTTTAAATAATGCAATCTTTTGCTTTTGTTTGTAGAACACAACCATTACTCTGGCCTGTTTGAAATATCCACCACAAGCTTCTTTTTCTCAATTTTTCTTGGGCATGCAGGGAGAGGTGGGTGGATGAAACGTCAAAGGAGTTCCCAGAGACATCATAAAATGGTTTAGACATCTCGATTATGAAAGAAGTGTTCTCCGCAGCCCAAAAAATAGCAAGTTGCTGATCTTTTTAACTGTTCCAATTCGCTTCTAAAAATCTATGGCAAGATGCAGCAAAGATACCTGGAAGGGGCTGTATAACTGTTCGTGTATGATGGAGAGTATCTCCAATACGGGCCTCTTTTGTTGAACGCATGCCGTTGACCATGAATCCAACTTGACCTGTTAAAAGGATTCCTGTCGGTACAAGTTCCGGGTGCAAAATCCCAACATCAGAAACTTCATAACTTTGGCCAGTGGCAGCAGAGGAAATCTTGTCACCCTTGTGCAGAGCACCATCAACAACAGCCACATGGCAGATAACTCCTTTGTACTCATCATAATATGAATCCAGCAAAAGCATTCGCAAAGGTGAAGTGCTTTTACCAGGAGGTGGAGGAATTCGCTCTATCACAGCAGGTAGAACCTGCTCTAGACCTTGACCAGTTTTTGCAGATGTGAATAGTGCATCGCTGGGATCAAGGTCAAACATGGATTTGAGCTGTGCTTTTACCCTATCTGGATCAGCAGTGGGCTGATCAATTTTGTTTATGACAGGAATTATGGCCAGGTTAGATTCAAACGCGAGGTAAAAATTAGCAACAGTCTGTGCCTGCACACCTTGGGCTGCATCTACAACCAAAAGGGCACCTTGACAAGCTGCCAAAGATCTGGAAACTTCATAGCTGAAATCCACATGACCAGGTGTATCAATCAGGTTTAATAAAAAATCTGTGTCACTGCCAAGGAACTTGTGACGATGGAACATAGTTGCTGTTTGAGCTTTAACGGTTATTCCCCGTTCCCTCTCTACCTAAGACAAATTACAGATTTTTCACATAAATATATCATACAGTACAGAGATATAATTGAGTACATATGAATAAAGAGCACAAGTAATTAATGCTCTAATAATGACAAATTGTCTCCTTTTTTCTAGAATCTTGGATGGAGAAGTTGACCTCCGCATTTCAATATCTAAGCAGCTGGGAAAACATTTGCAAGTGTAACAAAAGCAAAAGACGATCACTTAACGAATATCTGGAGGATGGAGTTTTAACTGGTCCATCTCTCATTGTAAACCAGTCTAAAAATAAAAAGTGCACTACAAACCAATAGAAGCAACATGATTACAACTATTGTGTCACACTTCACCTCTATATCTCGCACACAAAAATATGACCCAAAATTTTATAACCTCAGATTATAGCAAAATATGCATATCCATGCAGTACATAGCCTCTTGCTCAAACTTATCTTCTTCTTTGTACCCCTACCTGCCCACATCCCCACCCTCTCTCACATACGGAGGATAAAAGACATACATTCCACAACACTACAATATCAAACACCTAAGGGCATGGAATTTTCATGAACCTCATACCAAAATAGGACTACCTTTATTTCAAACACAAAATGTATGTAAAAGTTTCACTTTCACGTAAAACTAATAAGCAATTGCAAATGCATTACGACAGCTAACTCACAATTTCCCAAATCTCGAGCCAGGAAATCATCACACTAGTAAAAAAGCTACAGATAAAGGCTACCAGACCCAGAAAAATGATAAGAAATTGCAGCTTTAAACCTTGAAATAGTTACCATGATTGTTGCTAATAGCTGTCTGATTAAGAGATAATTACATTATTGTCGGGAAAATTGAAAGTTTATAAATACAATTAGAATATTACAGCCAACCAAAAGTTTAGAAAATTTCATTCAACCCCAAAATCTTGATAAAGTTAAGGTTAATTTGTTCTCACTATTAAACAAATATAACATTGAAGACATAATTAAGTAAATAAAAGTGTGTTCTCTCTAATAGCTTAATCTTTTAGAGCAAAGAGTTAGAGGTCCTGGGTTCAAGTCTCACCACTACGATAACAACTACATCTCGATCCCAAACAAGTTGGGTCGACTATATGAATCCCCACTAACCATGTTTCCCCATTTAAGCTCAACTCATGTTATCATCATACCAAATAAATAAAAGTAAAAATAAATTAAATATATAAATAATAATAGTAATATAATATTAAAAATTCTATATATTTTTACTAGCATATGAATCTATGATAACGTCAAAATACTCCCAGAAAAGCAATAGGTTCAAAATTAACGTACCAACAAAACTAAAACCTAATCCCAACTTGTAGATATCACCTAAATCGATCTTCCTTCCATTGTGCCCTGTCGTTAGCTAAGTATGCATTGTTTCAAAGAAATTACAGGTTTTCCGAGACAACTTCCTTCCATGTAATTTTTTGGTCTACCTCACCACTACCTATTATGAAAAAGAATTTCCACTTGCTTGGTCATGAACAAAAATTTAGGGGCATATGCGAGGGTGAGTTGAAAAGATAATTAAGTAACTAAAAGTCCTCTCTAACAGCTTAAGCTTTTAGAAGAGACGGTCATACACTTCATTAAATAACCTCTAGATGCCTTGACCTTGAGCTAAAAAGATAAAATTTTCGCAAAGAATTATGTCTGTCCCATTTTATGTGACTCTTTCATTTTTAGTCTTTCTTAATTTGGAAACAATTTAACTTGAACTTCACATTTTACTCAAAAAACTTTTATAACCACACAAATGTTATAACAAAATTAAGACCACGAGTTTCAAAAGTCATATTTCTTTCTTAAAACTCCGTGTCCAGTCAAATATGTTTACGTAAATTGAAATGAAAGGAGTTAACATTTAAGTTTTTCTCACTGTTAAACAAACACAACATCAGAATCCTTCACCTGAGGCTACAAAGATAAAGTTTTTCAAGTATGAAATATAAAGAATGAAGGGAAGTTACCTGCAATTTATCTAAGTATTGAGGCTGACCATGACCTTTTCTAATGGTTCCAGTAAGTTCCAAAAGCCTATCAGCCAACGTGGATTTTCCATGATCAACATGGGCAATAATAGAAAAATTCCGAATATTATCAGAAGGGTACTTATTCAAATCTATAGTTGATCCTTCTTTACTGTTTTGGCGAGGACGAGAGCAAAATGATGCATTTTGATTAAAGGAAAAATGAGATAAATAGGGTCGAGGAGTAGAAAATAAAGAGAAGTTGGATCTGAGAGCTCTTGAAGCTCTCTTGAAAGTACTCATTGTCCCAAGATTGTGTTTGGAGAATTAGAAAGGTGAGGTTTTTACATTATAGGGCTTTGGGTTTTGATTGTTGGAATGTTCGATAGAGATGAATAAAATGTCAAAATGCGGCGTGTGCAGGACCCTAATTTGCTACTGCCTGCGGTTGTTATTGATTATACTTGATTCAGTTTGGTTTGGTTTTCGCAAACCTATTAAGTTAGTTTTTTTTATCGGTTCAATTATATCTTTTTTGTCGATTTTTAGGTTTTCGGTTGTTTACTTAAATATGAAAGATACTCTACCAAAGATATATTCCGTGGACTAAATTCTAACATAACGCTATCAAATTAATTATTATTTAAGAAAATTTGATATTTATCGAGATATATTGATTATAATTAAATTAAATAGTGATGGATAATTTAAGGGCTCAATTAAAGACAAAATTATTTTTAACATGAAATAAATTCTTGAACCTAACAAAATAAAATTACCAATCAAACTAAAATTTAAAGACAAAGAACTAAATTATTATAAATTCAAAGAACTAGATTACCAACTAACAAATGATTAATATGTATGATAAAGTTTTAAAAACTTTATATAAGAAATACATACATGTGTGTGTATATATATATATATATAAAGTCGGGTTAGTCCATTTTTTTTTACTATTTTTTGCTTAAAACCAAATCTAATCAAATTTGGTCGATTTTTAAAATTCAAACCCGAAACTAAATTATACCAAAAAACTATCGATTTTTTTGTCGGTTTGATATGATTTTCAGTTGGATTCAATTTTTCGGTTTTTCATGATGAATTATGTTAAATGTATCCTAAATGAGTCCTAAAATTTAAAAAACAATAGTGGTCAAGAAAGATCTTTTAAAATAAGTTTTATGCAGCACGATTTTACATATGTTATGCTAATGAATATATATAAGGGGATATTACAGAAATGTCGGAGGAAGCTCAATTGAGGTATGTTGGCTAAACTCTTCTTTAAGAGTTGGAATTCTCATTATCCTTGTAAGTTCCGAGATGTTGATTATAAATCGAGTATTCCGATAAGTTTTGTGATGAAGATATATGTTCAATTCGTATTTCAAATGCTCTTATCATATTTCATTATAAATTGAGGATGTGTCCCAAACTATGGATTGCGTATCCACATGTTATAATTTCTAGTCGTGATTTATGTGAAAGGTATTATGCCAAGTTGTGTAGAGATTGTGATTGTGATACACCTCCACCCGCATATATATTGGGGTGAGGCGGCATGACCGCTTTATGTAGGGATTATGATATTGTGGGACTGCACCTCCACCTGCTTATATTGGGGTGAGGCGGTACGACCGCTTTGTGTATGGTTTTGGTATTATTGTGGCACCACCACCCGCATACATTGGGGTGAGGCGGCATAGCCGCTTTGCGTTGGTATTGTTATCGTTGATGCATTTCCACCCGCATACATTGGGGTGAGGCGGCATAGCCACTTTGTGTAGGCTCTTGGTACTGTGGTTATACATCCACCCGCATACATGAGGTGAGGCGGTAGGGCCGCTTGATTAGAGTTGTGGTATTGTACGTACACCTCCACCTGCATACATCGGATGAGGCGGCGGGGCCACTTTGTGAGAAGACGGTTATATAGGATCTCATCTTAAATCCTATAAATGTTGTTGATAGCTTTTAATAAGCTTGCTATGGTTGAGACAGTTATCTATATTATTCTATTGCCGCACTGGTTCATCATAATTATCTTGTATTTTTAAATTCTTAAATTAGTATTTAGTTTTCATACTAGTACTATTCGACGGTACTAACATCCCTTTTGCCGGGGGCGCTGCATCTTTAAATGGATGCAGGTGGTTCCACAGCAGGAGACATTGATCAGTGATAGCAGTACACCTTCTTTCCAGCTGACTTGGTGAGCACCACTTCATCCCTGGGTCATGTATCTTTTGATCTTTATGTATTATAGTTGATGTATAGTCGGGGCCTTGTTGCCAGCATTATCATTATACTCTTCTTTATCTATAGAGGCTCCGTANGTTTTGGGGCGTGACAGAAGGTGCTCAGACTCCTGCCACCCATACTCCAGAGCAGGTAGCTTAAGGACTCTAGACACCGGTGGTACTACCAGCCCAGCAGGGGACCCCACCAGCAGGCTCGGCCCGACAGAAGGTTTCATCAGCGGAGGCTTCCATGCCCTAAGTGTGGGAGGATGCACTTTGGGTCCTGTTTCATGGACCTACCAGTATGCTATGGGTGTGGTTTGCGAAGTCATATTCAGAGAGATTACCGCTCGTCCCGCCGAAATATGGGCAGAGGCACGGCACAACCAGTTAATTCTGCAGCTACTACATCCACAGCACCTTCAGTTCAAGGCACCCCAGCACCCATAGGGCGTGGTGCAGCTAGAGGTGGTGCACAAAATTCTGGAGGACCCAGTAGATTTTATGCTATGCGGAGACGTCGGGAATCAAAGGCTTCTCTAGATGTTGTCACAGGTATATTGACTGTCCAATCTCATGATGTATATGCTCTTATTGAACTCGGTTCCGCTTTGTCATATGTCACTCCTTATGTTGCTATGAAATTTGGGATAGAACCAAAATAACTTTATGAGTCGTTCACTGTATCTACTCCGGTTGGTGAGTCTATTTTGGCCGCGCAGGTTTATAGGGATTGTGTTGTCACATTGCGTGGTCGAGACACCGTGGCCGATCTTATTGAATTGAGAATGGTCGATTTTGATGTGATAATGGGGATGGATTGGCTTTATTCTTGTTTTGCCATGTTTGATTGCCGAACCAGGACTGTTAGGTTCGAATTTCCAAAAGAGCCAGTTATTGAATGGAAGGGTGATGATGTAGTGCCAAAGGGTAGGTTTATTTCCTACCTTAAGGCCACGAAGATGATAAACAAGGGATGTATTTACCATTTGGTCCGGGTTACGGACACCGATGCTGAGGCACCTACACTTGAGTCCGTACCTGTTGTGAATAAATTTCCAGGAGTCTTTCAGGATGAACTCCCTGGGATCTCACCAGACAGGGAGATTGATTTTGGCATCGGCACACATCCTATATCTATTCCACCCTACAAAATGGCACCGGCAGAATTGAAGGAGCTAAAGGAACAATTGAGAGATTTGTTAGAAAAGGATTTTATCCGGCCGAGTGTGTCGCCTTGGGGCGCACTGATCCTTTTTGTAAGAAAGAAAGATGGGTCACTGAGAATGTGTATTGACTATCAACAACTTAATAAGGTCACAATCAAGAATAAGTACCCACTGCCAAGGATAGATGACTTGTTTGATCAATTGCAAGGTGCCGGGTACTTCTCCAAGATTGATTTAAGATCCTGGTATCACCAATTGAAGATCAGGGAGCGGTATATTCTGAAAATAGCTTTTAGAACCCGGTATGGACATTTTGAATTTCTGGTGATGTCTTTTGGGCTAACAAATTCCCCAGCAACCTTCATGGATCTTATGAATCGCATTTTTAAGCCATTCCTCGACTCTTTTGTGATAGTGTTTATTGACGATATTCTTGTATATTCACGAAGTCGAGAAGACCATGCCGATCATCTCAGGGTAGTTCTGCAAACCCTGCATCAACACCAGTTATATGCAAAAGTTTTCAAAGTGTGAATTTTGGGTTGAATCAGTCATATTCTTGGGTCATGTAGTTTCTAGTGAGGGAATTAAGGTTGATCCTCAGAAAATTTTAGCGGTGAAGAATTAGCCGAGGCCTACAACTCCAACAGAGATTCGCAGTTTCTTAGGCTTAGCTGGATATTACAGAAAATTTGTGGAGGGGTTTTCTACTCTTGCCTCTCCATTGACTAAATTGACGCAGAAGGCAATTAAGTTCCAATGGTCAGATGCTTGTGAAAAGAGTTTCCAGGAATTGAAAGCAAGATTGACTACGGCACCGGTGTTGACTCTACCAGAGGGTATAGATGGATTTGTGGTATATTGTGATGCTTCAAGAATCGGGCTTGGGTGTGTATTAATGCAACATGGGAAGGTGATAGCTTATGCTTCTAGGCAACTAAAGAATCATGAAAAGAACTATCCAACACATGATTTAGAACTTGCGGCGGTGGTATTTGCATTGAAAATTTGGCGTCATTATTTATATGGGGTCCATGTGGATATATTCACGGACCATAAGAGCCTTCAATATTTTCAAACAGAAGGAATTGAATCTGAGGCAGAGAAGATGGCTTGAATTACTCAAGGATTATGACATTGATATTTTATACCATCCGAGGAAGGCTAATGTTGTGGCAGATGCTCTTAGCTAGAAATCTATGGGTAGTTTGGCTTACTTGGAGGCATATCAGAGGCCATTAGCCAAGGAAGTTCACCGATTGGCTAGTTTGGGACTTCGTCTTGCGGACTCTAGTGAAGGAGGGGTAATTATGCAAAATAGGGCCGAATCATCGCTTGTTGTGGAAGTCAAAGAGAAGCAATACAATGATCCATTGTTGGTGCAGTTGAAAGAGGGGATTCATAAACATAAGACCATGGCCTTTTCTCTTGGCATGGATGATGGTACACTAAGGTACCAAGGGCGACTCTGTATTCCAAATGTGGATGGTCTCCGTGAAAGAATTTTGATTGAAGCTCACACTTTTAGGTATTCTATGCACCCAGGTTCTACAAAAATGTATCATGATCTTAAGGAAGTCTATTGGTGGAATGATATGAAGAGGAATGTGGCGGACTTTGTGGCAAGATGTCCGAACTGTCAGCAAGTGAAGGCCGAACACCAAAGGCCCAGTGGGTTGGCACAGAACATAGAAATTCCAATATGGAAATGGGAAATGATTAATATGGAATTTGTGGTAGGATTACCGTGCACTCCGCGCAAGTTTGACTCAATTTGGGTGATTGTGGATCGACTCACGAAATTAACACACTTTTTGCCGGTTAAGTCTACCTACATAGTGGAGAAGTATGCTCAGTTGTATATCAAAGAAATAGTCAGGTTGCATGGCACCCCAGTTTCCATCATTTCTGATCGGGGGGCACAATTCACTGCTAATTTTTGGAAGAAATTTCAGCAAGGTTTGGGTACTCAAGTGAATTTTAGTACAACCTTTCACGCGCAGACTGACGGGCAGGCATAGCGGACTATTCAGACGCTTGAGGATATGTT